TATTGGAAGGAGCAGTTGCTTGAGAACACAATAAAGTATAAAAAAAAATCAGCGTTGCGGAATGACCAGCGAGACTATCATCCGGCGTGAGGTCTGAGCTATATCCCCAATGTCAAAGCTCTCTCGCGTGATGGCCCACCCCCATCCATCTCAAAGCACTAGGTGGGGGTGACCTTGGGACGAATGGCCCGCGCCCTGAGCATGAGTGTGGGCGAGCCGAGCCAACTGGGACCCGCAGTGGGGTCGACTAAGGCTCGAAAGTCTACCGGGGTTTGGCCCTACAACGTCCTATTGGGAGGCGAGACACTGGTGTGCTGGTGGAACATACTCAGCACTGGAGTTCGGATAAAACGATTGGCAACCTTTATTGTGGCTATTGAGGTGGGGCGACGAGGTGGCCTCTATAATGTACTCGCATCAACATTAGCCGGTTGGTTATCGCGCAGGGAACGCTGGCGCGTACAAGCGGAAATCAGAGGGATTGAAAGTCGAATCCGAGATGATGAGAACGGACTCTTAGCGTTCAGCCCGTTTGGCGACGCCTCGACTCGGGGAAGGCGCTTTAGTGGAGCTGGTCAAAGCGACGAAGGCAACATGACCGACGAAGTGATTGCGGCGGTGAGGCGAAATCTGCCCATCAACAGGATCGCACATCAGGAGCTGAGAGCAGCGTTCAGACGCCACCGAACAGGTCGGGGTCCAGGGAGGCAAGTAGATCGAAGATATTCGACCCCGCTCATCCGCCCTCGACAACAAGCGCCTCAACGAGTTCCTTCACCTTCGACGAATCTAGCACAACGGGATGGGCGGCAGCAAGGCACACACACCCAAGGGGATCAGCCGCCATCACCGACGCCAGTACAACGACAACAATTAGGAGGCGACCACGCTAACGTACAACAAGCCTTGGATCGGGGTCTGGAACTGACTCGCAATCCACGAGGCCAGAGGTGGGGTTACTACTCAAGTGCAAACGACACGACGAACGGGGAGGGTCCTAGAGACACTGGTGTCGACCAACTGGAGCAGTAATGGAGGTGCAGAGGCAGGAAGCTGGCCCCTCCCAGGGGCATCGCACAGACTGGAAGGTGATGAAGGCAGTGCGGAAAGCGGTGCTGACTCGCTCATTCTTAACAGACACGAGGGCGGAAGCTAGGCGGCTCGATGGAGAGCTTACCCTCCCAATGGATGAGAGAATGGCGGTCGCACAAATTACATACATGCGTGCTCATATTATTGTCATGCGCTTTGACGGACCCCTTAAGGACCTGGCGCCGCAGGCCAAGCTGGATTGGGTGCGCTGCTGGGAGCTGGGAAACTGGCCCGAGAAAGGTCAGGCCTCATACTAGGGACGTGCAACAGTGGAGGGAGGCGCGATGGTATTTTACTGGGCTCCTACAGCGGCTCTTCGTAACTGGTTGCTTCACACCCGGCGGAGAGAGGGCATCAGACTGGGAGACCACACACACTTTGTACGCTTCACTTCCTGGATATCGCCGACGGAAGTAGAATGGGAGAAGCTCCAAGAGAAGAAGGTGCGTCTGTGGGTGAGATTTGTGCATCCCCCCCTATGGCAGTGCTAATGCTACATCAGTTAGCCGAGGCATTCTTTGGAACGGTCAAAAACCCGGAGGGCACATGGGCGGTGGATAGTGATGGGAGAGAAACAATTAAATTTGACCTGTATCCACCGCTACGTTCCCAAGGCCTGGAACAACTAGCGATGGCACAGGCCTACTATGGTAGGCCTGAGGTGAGGGGAATCACGAGCGAAACTCCATGGTGCGACAACTGCCACAGGCATGACCACCTTGCACGACAAGGAAGGTGCCTGACAGCGGCTGAGACGAAGGAGGAGATGGCGTGCCGGTAGCAACTCTTGAAATCGGACCCGGGCCTCCCTAAGGATGAAGTTGCGGAGGTGACGTGCTGGGAAGCGTACGAGAAGGAATTTGACAACGTGATCTACACAGAGATCGCAAAAGATGATCAGGAGATGGGAGCAACCTCGTGAGCAAGTCGAAAGCCGGAGCAGAGGACATGAATGGGGGACGGACAGACGCTGGTGCACCCGCAGGCGAACGTAGACGAGCAGCCGGAGGGGGGTGGCCAGGCGGAGGGGGAGGCGATGGAGTGCTGCGAGCAGGAACGGATCGTCAAAGAGATTGATGTGCGACACGTGAAAGCTGCGGGGCAGGAGATGGACGAAGTGAGGGATAAACGGGGGGAGAATCCACAACCACACCAGCAGTCTAGGCACGGACAGGGTGGCCAGGAAGTGATGACTGGGATCCCTGAGACACCGGCTGAAGGGAACAAAGACCTATCTCAAGATGAGATGGATCCTTCCCTGCCCAGGTCGAGGGGTCAACGACAGCAGGCGGAGGGCCAGGCGGCAGCTGGCGTACTTGACGATCTGGCCCAGCAGAAGCAGCGGGGGAAGCAACATCAGAAATCACCCCTTACGCGGCAAGGGAAGCGTAGGAACACTCTTCGGACCCCTACTGCCGACCCGATTATACGCCCTCATGGCCGCAAGTCGACGTGAAAATCTGCCAGCCGAGTACTCTACTATGGCTCAACACTCAGAGGAAGATACAGCAGCCGGAAGGACAAGGGTAACCAGCGGCAACAGAGAAGCGTCCCGAGAGTGACCGCCAACGCGGAAGCAACCTTCGAGCCGGGCCCGGATCTGGTGAAGGGAATCGAGGAGCTCGGTCTCAAATCTCCGGCCATCCATCAATCGTCGGCCGCTCGCCACCAGCAGGCCAACATCAATTCACGAGAGCAACGACTACAACAAACCAATGATCCGTTGTGAACTGAAACGAGTGGAGCCTCCAAACGTGGGCGGCAGAGGAGGCAAGGTAGGGAGAGGACGAGCCGAGAAGCCTCGCCTATCGACCTTCCCAATAAATCTGATCGAGGCAAGAGAAACAGGACCTTATGCACAGCGGGAGACGGGACAACACTGAACCTTGATGGGAAGGAATGGCAGAATTTCATGGACACCACTAATTCCGCCCTTCAGACCCTGGAACCTGTGCTCCCCTTGCCACGCCCTAAGGGTCCCTCCTCTTTTCAGCCTCTTCCACCCCAGACCGGCGCTACCAGGCCGCTGCGTCGGGGGTCACCCAGCACCCACTCAGGGCTTCACCTCCCTGTGGCTCCACAGTCGGGAAGCGTTAGCACCACAGCCACCGTGGTGCCGCAGGGACGCGCCAGACCCTGCTACGCGAGGGGTGACCCCCTCACTCCTCCCGCACGCTCCAACTGAGCCTGCCCCTCCCGGAGCCACTCCCCCCCCATGGCCTCAACAACCCTAAGGGGAGGCACACGCTTAACCATTACAGGGACCCAGGAAGTACGGTTGGGTTGTCAGCATCCAGTCTGCACCCTTGCAGGTGGCTCCCCAGGTCCGGAGCTGAGCGGTGGACCCCGGTGTACGACCGTGCCCCTGGGAGCGCGCGTGCTCAGTTTGTGAGTTGTAGTGCATCAACCTAACGCCGTGCCGGCGGCATATGCACGAGGTTGCGGATTTGAACCCGCAACCCCAGACCACAATGTGCATTTCCAACCGGTGCCCTAACCACTGGGCCATCCGCCACTCACGCTCTCACAGTTTGTTTGTTCTTTTTTTTTTAAACAAACATCCCCCAATAGTGCTAACGATACTGGTAGGAGCAGTTATCGGTAGCACCCGAGGGGAGGCTCCAATCTATTGGTGGGGAGCAGCACCTGCTGGGAAACGGGCCCAACGTCCCTGAGTACAGATGAGAAATAGCAAAAGACGGAGGAACAGGGGTTTCACCACTGCCCAAGGGTAGTGGCGCCTGCGCCAGGGCTTGTCTAAGGGCACTTATGCAAGTAGGCCGCACCTAAGGTCCCCTCTGTCGGGAAACGTTAGCACCCAGTCACAGAGGGGGTTGTCAGGGGAGGCGAAACTTGCGATGCCCAGAGACAAGCCCCTCACTCCCCCTGGAAGGATATCAAACCAATCATTACCCACGTTCGACTCTATGTCGCAGTGCGCCTTCCCACACCTGCGACCACCTCAGTCTTTCTAGTCCTACACAGGTGGGGCGGCGTTTTTCGTACTATGCTTTTACTTCTCGTGTGCCATTGAATTCCTATATTGTGCTTTCGTATTGTATCTGAATGCCCATCCCAGCGCCCTCACGCCCTATAACTCCTAGCTCCCCCTACTCCCCATTAAGTTCCTATATAAGGTCATCATTAGTCGTGCCAGCACCGTGTAACCTCTACTGGCAATTAGCGCTTACAGAGTATATCTATGCTATCAATTCTTCCGCGGAGTTCACCTGAGTTCTATAGCCTAGTTCAGTCACCTGACGTACCAGCCTCTAGGACCTGTTATCATGCACGGCGTCCCAGAAGTCCTCCCTATCACGTCGCGTAACACAAGTTATCAAGTTGATGTCTCAGAGTGGTCGTTCCCGACCGGTGGGGTCCATTCCCAGGATCCCGACTGCTCGTGGATGTGAACCAATTTGGAGTATGGCGCCCAAGTCTGTTGGAGGAGTGGCCATGCCCCGGCTGACTTCCGTTTGACATCTGTCGCGATGGCAGTCCGTAGATTAGCAAGACACATCGCTCTCAGAGAGGCAAAGGTAGGAGGCCGCTGCTGGAAGATAAGTTGCGTCCGGAGGGCCCAGACTGCTGCCAAGAATGCCGCCCTGATGATGTCGATGGTGTACGCCCGCTGACCTCGAATGGGGGGATCTCTGAGGGCCGGGCCAACAAGTAAGCAATCCGTCCACTCCTGCTGAGTCATCGCCTCTATGTCTCCCCCCACCTCCTGCCGCCACCATGCCCAAAATTGTTGTTGCGGGGGGCATCCACTCCACACGTGAGGGGCATCCTCGCATTTTGCAGCACAGTGCGGGCACTTCCCGTCAGAGAAGGAGGATCGCTTCGCGAGCCACTGGTTTGTCGGAAGTGCCAAATGGATGTTCATCCAGAGAAGCCCAGCTTGCTTCACATTGGGGAGCGACTGGAGGCGGGCGGGCATAGATTTCCACCTAGTTGGGGACCATCTGATGGGGGAGCCCCCCGTCAACCATCCCTTGCGGGTCCAGCGATGTTGCAGCTTCTAATCGATTCGGTAGGGGGTGGTCAGTGAACGATAGATAACCTTGGTGGATACTTGATGGAGTGGGAGATCATGGCATTGGAGGCCTTGCTTTCGCCACTGCCACATGGCCGGATCCAGTGCCAGCTGCGCTGGACGCTTCTCCTGTCTGAAGGCGTGATGTGCTCGCCGGGCAAGGCCTCGCCTGTCCGTGACCACCGAGACCGATCGGACGAGGTCCCTGGGCACCCAGCCGTCCCTGCTCGGGGAGCAAACCAAGGGGGGGCCAAGTGCAGTGTCAGAGGGCGGGTTCTCCCATGCTTCAACGACCAACCAGGACTCCCCAACACGTGCCGTGATCTGGAATAGTAGGCGGGCCGAGTTGTCAGTGCTCAGCACCACCCACTCCCCATCAAATCTCTGCCTCGCTCTGAGCGCAGCCAGCCATTCCTTCGGGATCGCCTGCTGGATTTGGTGCAGCCGTTGCTGTTTATGCGTCTGACCATCCAACTGTTTCAGCAGAGCCGACTCTTGCTGCCACTCATTGGTCTGCAGGTCCCACAGGTCCGCTATTATCGCCACTCCCGCCCTTAGCCATGCCTTGCCAAAGGCCCCTCTAGCCCCTGCCCATGGAAACCGCTCGCCATTACTATCCCGGATCCGGGGGTTGCCAAACAAGGGCTGTTGAAGAATGTGGTCAAGCGACGACGGTGGCTCGAGCTCCAGCGGGGCCAGGTCCCGCCATGCCTTCAGGAATGGGGACCACAGGGCGCCTCTCTTAAGACCCGTGAGGATGGCTGGTTGCAGGAGGGCCAGCTCCATATCCGTTGGGTGCAGTCGCGCCGCTTCAGCCATGGTCTGCAAGGTCAAGAGCTTCCAGGGCGCGTCATCCTGCTCCAACAGAAGCCAAATCACCGTCCGCAATTGCAGCGCCTGAATCTGTGTGGCCGGGTCAATCAGCCCCAATCCCCGGCCTGCCTTGGGTTGGATGAGCTTGCGCCAAGCGACCTGATGGATTGCGTGGGGGGCGAAGGGGTCGTTCTTCCAGACGAACTTGGAGAGCGCCGTTCGGTATTCCCGCTGCGGGACCGGGTCTTGGGTTGAGACGGGGGCCGCGTACCAGAGCATCGCAGACGCCGCGGTGTTCGCTAGGAGCACTCGGCCGAAGATCCCGGCGTCCAGTGTTTTCCTGCGGAATGCGAGTCGCGTGGCCGCTTTCCGCATCAACTGCTCCATCTGGGAGCCATCAGTGAGGGCGCGAGGGAGCTTAATGCCGAGGTAGGATGCAGCTTCCGTCATCGGCTGGACTCTCATTTCCTCGAACAGCGGGGCCGCATTGAGATCCGGTACCAACGCCACCGTTTTGTGCCAGTTCATGCGTGCCCCAGCAAACTTCTCGAAGGTGCCCACCTGGGTACGCAGCGCTCGGACGCTAACCAACGTAGTTGCAGTGACCGCTCCAGTATCGTCCGCTAACGCCGATGATTTGAGTTGTCGACCCCCGGGGAGCTTCAATCCCTCCAATTCATCGTCCGCCCGGAGCATGTCATGCAAGTGTTCAACATACAATGCATATAGTGCAGGGGACAGTGGGCAGCCTTGACGGACTGAGCGAGTGATCGCAATCGGATCCGACACATAGTCGTTGATCAAGAGTCGAGATGTTGTCGAGGCCAAGAGGCACCGCACCATAGAGAGGAACCGCGGGCCAAATCGTCGTTGTCTTAAGCCTTCGAGCAAGAATGGCCAAGAGACTTTGTCATAGGCTTTCTCGAAATCCAGCAGGACAAACGCCAGCGACGGTTCCTGGCGTGGAGCTTGCCATACTATCTGTCGAGCGAGCAGAATGTTCGTCAAGATCCGCCGGCCCGGAATAAAACCTGTTTGCGTGGGGTCGACAATGCTAGGGAGCTTGCGTGCGAGGCGGTTTGCCATGATCTTCGCCAGCAGTTTGTACGAAGCAGACAGGAGAGAGATAGGTCGCCAATTGCGAATCTCCTTGGGGGGTCCCTTCTTGTGCACTAGAATGATCGTTGCGAGGCCAAGCTCCCAGTCTTATATCGTTGAAGCCCTCAAGGAGATGCAGCAAGAGGACGTCCAGGCAGGACTTGAGGTGCTCGACTGGCATTCCATCTGGTCCCGGAGCTTTGCCGGCTGGCAGATCCGCCAGGGCTTCACAGACCTCGTGCTCCATGATTGGCCCATCGAGCTCCGCGCTGTCTGAGTCGGTCAGTGCGGTAGTGATCTTCTGCCAAATCGCCGCGGCTGGCTCTGCTGCGATTTCCTCCGGGGTCCAAGGCTGCTCCTCCGGTAAAAGATAGGAGTAGTATTGATGGGCAAAGTGCAGAATGTGCTGGGTATCCTCAGCCACTGGGCCGTCCTGTTGGAATGGTGGCTGCAGGGTCATCATGGCGGAGGCCGGCTGTCTCGTACGGAGCCGACGAAAAAATGTATTTGTCATGCGGCCCGCCGCCAGTGTCCATTGAGCTTTGCTGCGCAGTCCCCAAGCTTCCGCGTCCTTGAGTTGCCATTCCTCCCATTCCACCTGCAGCGCCGCCCATTGCATCCACCATTCCTCCTCCCCTTCTTCCGTTGGCGGGTCGTCGCCCAAATCCAACACCCTTCTAATAAATGCCTCCGCCGCCAGCCGCCGTGAACGTTTGGAGGCGAGTACGGCCTGCTTGAGTAGTCGAGCCAGGGCTGTCGTGCCATCTGCTAGCCACTGGAGGGCAGACTGATCCACATGTCGGAGCTGTATCCAGTAAAGCCAATGTTGAATTGCCATATTACGGTACCGTTCTTCTGCGAAGAGCCACCCTGGTACAGTAGAAGGCGGGGGCCTTGTATGCAAGCCTGTGGGGATCGCCAAGGTAAGGACTATCATCCTGTAGACCCATGTCTGTTAGTACATTTAACATGGCTATCACATCCGGCGAATAAGGAGAGCGTGAGTCCCGCCGCAGGGGCGGGTCCACCACCGTGTTGAGGTCTCCGATCAGAATTAGTCTGTCGACCTCAGGAATGTTAGCAGAGAAGGCATGCCAGAATTGGCATCTGTCCCCAAGCTGTGGGGGGGCATACACCGTCGCAATGAGGGCCCGTTCCTTTGCGAGGCCAATGTATGCCCAGGCCCAACGACCCTGTGTATCCACAAAAAAGTCCAAAAGCTCCCCCCTGAAGTACTTAGTACCTATGATGGCCACACCCCCCTCTGTGCCAATTGTCGGTGCCCATAGTTGAAAGCGCGCCTGGAGGCTTGCCGTAACAGGTGGCAACTCACCTTCGGTTAAACGCTGCTCAGACAACTTAGTTTCTTGCAGACAGAGGATGTCGGTGCGGCCCATTCAGGTTGTCCGGAGAGCATATTGGGCACACTACTATCTATCCCGTAGTACTGAGTTTCCCATCCCTCACCTATTCTAACCCCATCGCGAGTCGAACCAACGGGCCTGCAACCACAGTCGATGGTATGCAGGCATGCTTTTTTTCTACCTAGCGAGACACCTAAGACTAGGACACCCCCCCAGGCGCATTTTTACCATAGGCACCCCGGACAAGCCGGGGCTCAACTAGTCCGCAGCCAGGCTGCTTCCCACCTAGCAGACTCTATGGGGGGCCCTCCCCATTCTGCTAGATGCGATGAACCCCCCCTCTACCCAACCTACCCCCAGTACTTAACCCCTCCCTCATCTCTCTGAGACCCCCCTTCTGGGGTCCGACTAAGGGCCTATCTGTCGCGCTAAGCCCTGCCCGAAGCCTCGTAAGATTACCTTGAAGCCCAACCCCGGGAATCGTAAGTATCAGGCACTGTCCCAACTACAACTCCCACACACCACTCATCCCCTATACCGAGGTAGACCATGGGGCACGGCCTACCCTGGGTGCGCACAGTGATGTGATCTACCGGTCCTACTTCAGCCCACCGGATCCCAAGGACCCCTAGGTAGGGTCGTAAGTCACGGGAAACATTCCAACGGTACCCAGACTGACTTAGGGTTTTACCCCCAGAGTCCCCCGGTACGGGCGACTGTGTGAAAATCGGGTTTGCAGCACTGTGCGGTGGTTCTGACAGTTCTGTTAGGTACAATGATCAAAGACACCTGGCAACGGTTACGTTCAGCCCAAGGTCCCGACAGTTCCGTTAGGACCAACGTCCTACATCTACCCCCCCCCCCCTCCCCATGGCATATATCCCAAAGCCCAAACCGTGACCCCGGACGACCCCCCATGGACTACAGACATCAGGCGGACCTCCCACAGTTCAGACCCCGACATATAACACCATGGGAAAATCCCCTTGGGCGGTGCGCAGGCAGTGTCTGTATAAACTTACCATGCGTCGTCCCAAGGGGTAGGGTGCGAATGGCGTGGCGCTATTAAAGCGCGAAACGTCGGAAAGCACGCAGGCCGCGAGTTTTTGAACCCAAGACCTGATACCACAATGCGCATTTCCAGACGTTGTCCTAACCACTTGGACATCATGCCATTCGCGCCATCACAGTGCAAAGTGTTCACACTYAGACGTGCATGGCTTAGTCTTTGAGACAAACATATGACTACTGGCAGGATCAACCAGGTAGCGGGTGTGACGAGCAGCCGCAAGGAGCGATGGCCGAGGCGCACGTAGGCACGTCACACCGGACAGCCTACCAAAAGAACGTCGAACAATCATGGAACGTGCAATGAGCTGGCGAGATATACCTGATCTCATTTGAACCTTGAAAAGCCAAGTGCCCTCAGGTTGATACAGCACTGGGATGGGTGACCAATATGTAGCGACGAGATCTGTGATGTGCATTCACTATGAATTACGCCTGGTATGCCTATAGAAAGAACCCATACAGCACTAGAACGGAATATATATATAGCACCCCAGTTAGACCCCGCTTGAACTTCATAGTATGTATATGTGCAATATACTAGAAAAATAGTAAGCACTAGAATGTAGGCCCAATTAACCCCTAGCCTGCTACTCCCTGCCTCGCCCCGTAGGAGCCCCACTCTGATGTCTGGGTACCATGTAGTTTCCCGGTTGGGTGTGGAACGTTCATAGGGCGAGGAAACACAGTGAGCAAGCAAGGTCTAGTAAGTTCCCCTCGTGGGTGTCTCGTACCTCAGGGAAATAAAAGCCCTCTCTATTCAGGGGGTGTGTGGGAGGGGGGGGGGGACAGGAGCATTGTGGTAGGTAAGGTTGGAAGACCCAAATTGCTTACTGGGTAATTCAATCACTAGAGGGGAGCACGTGACCCACATGCAGCAGCTGTATGGGCCATCGACGGAGACCGCATGGGTGGGGGGGAAATCGTGACACGTAGAAAAACTTCCTGGATAACCCAAGTAGTTAGAGTGTGCCTGCTGTTCCAGCAGGTGCACCACGTAATACCTTAGGACCACCTAGCTGCCTGGTCTTCTCTAGGCAGTGAATAGACAAGAGGGATACTCTCATAGCCACGATACCCGGGGCCCAAAGTGCCCATCCAGCGGCGTGGGACTGAGTATACTAGGCACCTAAAGTGCCCATCTTGGGGCGTAGGACCTGGCATAAAGTAGGCTATGAGACGAAAAGGGTATAGGAGATGAGGGACTAGTGGAGGAGGATATATGGCCGATAAACTTGGGTCAGGGTTGAAGGGGGTCCGTCTCCTGATTAGGGGGGGTAAAGGGAAAAGACTCTACACCTACCTAAGGGGGGATTGGCCTAAGAAAGGATCTACTAAGTCAAGGGAGGGAGGACAAGACTGTTTACAATGTGCCCAATAACACCCAGTTGGAGGTTGGATCTGTAGGGACAGTAATCTGATCTCTAGTGGCAAGCTGGTAGGTGCGGGTGGGACACGGTTTGCGATAGGTAGGGGCCTTCAAAGCCTCTATAAGCACCCGTCTAAAAGGATGATCCAGAAAGCTAAAGGGTTGTGGGTCATCTCGAACTTCGAGTGGCTGCACCCCGAAGAACATCCCCGTGCCTGAGGGGTTATCATTTATTTGGTGGTCTCCTTACCACTCGGATAACCGTGGTCATTCTAGAGTTAATACATGCAGCATATCCCGACTTCTGGAAGGGATGTATTTATTGGATAAAAGCCCGATCCGGGCCCGTTGTTGCGGCGAATCATGGTGACTTGTCGAATCGCATGGCCTTTGAGCCGGCRATGTTCCATTCAAATTTCTGCCCTATCAACTTTCGATGGTAGGATAGAAGCCTACCATGGTGGTAACGGGTGACAGAGAATTAGGGTTCGATTCCGGAGAGGGAGCCTGAGAGATGGCTACCACATCCAAGGAAGGCAACAGGCGCGTAAATTACCCAATCCTGACATAGGGAGGTAGTG